TCAGCTTTATTTATAAAGCGCTTTTAAAAACAGCTAATAGCTGAACCAAAGTGCTGYTCAGCAATCTACAAATATCACAAAAGCAAAATAATTGCTAAAAATACATAATAAAATACAACCAACAAYAGCAAGAACAGATAAATTACAATGCCAGGTCTTGTTTTAATTAAATGCCTTTGAATAAAAATGAGTCTTAAGAAGCACTTTTACTTTTAATGTGTTTAAACATTTACACAGATTTAAAAGTGTGGATGATGAAATGTGGTTTATCTTCCATACCAGGTGAAACTGTATCCTCCCAATGTAACCAAGGCAGCCACTCCTATGAACGCAGCAGCAGACAGCGATGCAGCCCTCAGAACATACGATGTGCCTGAATGTAGAAAACACAGTCTATCAGAAAGTGACATCAAATCACACTTTTTATTCTAGCTGTTTTTCTATTTAGAAATCTTTTCTGATGGTTATTAACCATAACTGTTGGTAAAAGTTACCTGCTATCTTTGCCCACAGCACACAGCAACTTTTCGAGGCCTCAAAGAGAAAATTAGATAAAGTCTTCCACAGTTTCTAAGACGTAACATTTTTTTTGACAGTCCAACWTAGAATTATCACCACTCACCAGTTTCCACTGACTGACAGCTCGTAGGATGATGTAATAGGTTCTGCTGCTCTCCAGCGGAGCATTATAAAAGCCCCCATAGWGGAAACCATCCCCTACAGTAAAGTTTATTTCTGTCCCAACATCTTGGACATGAAGCTGGGCAGTGATGTACTCTGATGCTGATTTGATTTTGTCCAAAGCGTCTAAGCTCACGGGAGAGGAGCAGTCAAACGTCATGATCCCCTCCACAGGAAGCACAAAGATTTGGTACAGACTGCCAAATGAAAAACACAAAGTGAAACATTTTCACTTCATTAAACATTTACTGTCATTGGTGACTGGAGCRGATCTTTTTATCCTTGTACACAAAATGAGAAAAGGATCAAAACTGATGCAACATATTCAAGGTTAGATGTTAGTTCAGTAAGTGTATTTACACAGAAAAGGTCAAAATAAGTACAAAGTTTTAATGCAAGCCCCTCCAACATCTGAATAAAGATTTTAACCAGAAAAGAGGAAGATGGGGAATTTTAGAAATGGGCCTTTTGTCCAGATGTGCCTTTATGCTTTGACTGGACTATAWATTGTTACCCTTTATTCATAAAGAAATTTTGTTTGTCCGTCCATTTTCTTTCGCTTATCAGGGGTCGGGTTGCGGGGGCAGCAGCCTMAGAGAGACCCAGACTTCCCTCTCCCCAGMCACTTGGGCCAKCTCATCTGGGGGAATCCCAAGGTGTTCCCAGGCCAGCTGAGARACATWGTCCCTCCAGTGTGTCCTGGGTCTTCCTCTGGGCCTCCTCCCAGTGGGACATGCCCGGAACACCTCACCAGGGAGCTTTATAAATAAAACTTTACTTACTYACTTAACTGGCTCCTCTCGACGTGGAGGAGCAGCAGCTCTACTCTGAGTCCCTCCTGGATGACTGAGCTTCTCACCCTATCTCTAAGGGAGAGCCCAGACACCCTGTGGAGGAAACTCATTTCRGCYGCTTGTATCTGTRATCTCGTTCTTCCAGTCACTACCCAAAGCTCGTGACCATAGATGAGGGTAGGAAYGTGGACCGGTACAGCACCCACATCACTGCAGAYGCAGCACCAATCCRCCTGTCGATCTCCCGCTCCATTCTTCTCTCATTCATGAACAAGACCCCGAGATACTTAAACTCCTCCACTTGGGGCAGGATCTCCWCCCTGACCYGGAGAAGGCAACCTACCCGTTTCYGGCTCAAGACCATGGTCTCAGATTTGGAGRCACTGATCCTYATCCCGRCCAAAATTTTGTTTCATRTTTTAAAATGTGTGCTTTGTRAGTATGATATATTTTTATTTCAAATATGATTTTGCTGATTTACATCCCCCGTCCCGCTCTCCATGAACAATAAGGTGGTCAGGTCCCACRTACTGACAGTCAGCAGGGCTCACTATGCTTTGAATGATTTTACCTTATTGGGTCCAAAGTGTTGGGTGACCTTCGTAGCCTCAGCRTTGGCACTGGACTCTCTAATTCTGTGTAGTAAACAGCTGGTGCAGGAGGTTCTATTAAACATATAAATTACATTTTAAATGTATTTTTCAAAAGGAAGAAGTCCACAAGAAATAACATATAGCCTAATCAGTTAATAARTATGTCCTGTTTGTGCAGTGATACCTGTTAAGCTGGTGTTAGCGTTGATGGTGGCTGTAAATCTGGCTGATGCTGCCGTCACAGAGATGCTGTAGTTCGTTACAGGCAGCAGCTTGAGGCAAAGTTTCAGCTCGTCAGCTTTGGACGTCAGGAAACGTTGCCCTTTGTGCTGAAAGGATCTCTGGAAGTCTCTGGATCCAGTGTAAGTCACCTGAAATGGGTRAATCTAATTTTTCAGTCAGGGTTGGTGAAGTCTACTAAAACCACTGGAGAGAAAATATATTTTTGTTTTTACCTCATATATTTCTGTATCTTCCTCATATTTTTCAGCTTTCCACTGCAGACAGTTTCCATTATGGATGACCAGGTAACTGATAGGTGGCTTGATTTCTGTGTCATTAAAATGGGATGTGTGAGATTCTGCAACTATACTGGACTGTGAATGTGATCACATTTTTGTACAGAGCTTTTTGAGTGGTTTCAATTTGGAGTGATTGAAATACACTATCTGGCCAACAAAAAAGTCACCACCAAAAAAAAAAAAAAAATGGTAACACACTAATATTTCATTGGACCACCTTTAGCTTTGATTACAGCACACATTCACCATAGCATTGTTTGGATAAGCTTCCTAGATCGGACCAACTGCAGCAACCAATCACAGCCCCGCCCCCACAGGCTGTACAGTAGACATGATGGGAGCATCCTGGAAGACGATGGGTCCACTATCCTTCCAGTTTTTTAATATGTTGGGCAGTTCTTAAACCAGTTTTAGTAGTTTCTACAATCTCTTAGATGTTTTCTCTGTTTGATGCCAATGATTTGACTCTTCTCAAACAGACTGACATCTTCTCCACGACCACAGGACGTGTCTTTGGTTGTTTAAGAAATGAGAAACAACTCATTGAACCAGTTGGGTTCAATAACTTGTTGCTGATGGATAATCAGCCCTGYAGTAATTATCCAATAGGAGGCTTGTAACTATTTGCTTAGTTAAATCCAGGTGGCGAGTTTATTTTTGGCCAAGCCGTGTACATCTAAGACCAAAGTAGATTGTTGTTTTGTCATAAAACAGCTCCAAGAGACCAATAGAATCTGAGCAGATCCAACTCAGATTTAGCCAAAATGGAGCAGTTTTAAGACGTTAATCCACTTTGGTTTTGGCTTAATTTTGACTGTAGCTGTTCATTCCTGTCTAGAAGCTATTTAAAACAACTTCATAGATTTGACACAAAACCTCACTTTGAAATGGTCAGATTGTCACTTTAATGAGGACTCCACTCCATAAAAACCATTACATTATAAACCACTATTTCCCTGCTCACCAATGCACTTGAGCGTGGCCTCCTGCCACACCCCTGAGCTGCCACACAGAGACGTGTCGGTGCCCCTCCAGCTGTGGTAMCCGGCTTCACAGCGATGAACCACAATGCTCCTGTTATGCCACACCACTTCAGAGTTTGCCAGGGAGGGAATCGGGCCGCATTTAGCTGGAAAAATATCAATAGTGATCGAACGATGTTAAACTTCCACGATTCATTTGAAAGATTCAGAACAAGAAAGACGATATGAGAGAACTGTGACACTGTCAGGGTGAGGTTGTACATTCATATTTTACAAACACCCACATTGATCTGTGTGCTGTCGGCCAGTGATCATTGCAAGCCATTGTGGAGGAAAGTAAATCACATGCAGCTTCTTAGGGTGCCACAAACTCCAAGTCTAACATCTCAGATCACAACAGAGCATGCAGCGTTAGAGAGTTGAGCAGCAGAAACATATGAGACAACATGCAAAGAGGAACAGAGACGTTTACATTCATGGTGATCTATAAGGACGATTATTTACCTTTGCATTTTATAGATACTTCCCCCCACTCTCCTATTAGTGAACACGTTGAATAATTATTTCCACTCTGCTGGTAAAATCCATCCACACACTCATACAGCACAACGCTGCCCACTCTGCTGCTATGGTCCCACAGAAGCTYAGTGTTGGGGAGGGTTTTGGGGGAACCGCAGTTTATTTCTGTATACAAATAACATAAACAGACTGGGAGCAATAAAGAAGTGCGACAAGAAGGGATCTGTGCAATTCTTAGTTAAACATTTTTTATTAAATGAAGAAAAGAACATTTAATAGTGAAAGTGTTGGCTAAATTTCCATCTTCTTAAGATTTTACACACACATTTTATTTTTGCTCAGAAAAAAATTAAATAAAAATCATGCACCTTCACACCATAGGTCAACATCTTCCCACAATCCATTTTCTCCACAAACAGAGTTGTTTCTTTGGCCTCTGGTGTAATATCCTTCCTCACATTGGTAATACACAACACTACCGACGTGTGCCTTGCCGTCCCATTGCATTTTAGAGTGTTGTATAAAAAGAGGTTCTGTGCAAATGATTTCTACAACAAAAAAAAAAACAGAAAATCCAGTGGTGGAAAGGGGATGTATTTTGATTGCGTAGACAAAAATAAAAATAGGATACCCTGTATGGTGCAAAATGATGCAGTCTCAGTGTTGTAACTCATTACACTTACATATGCAGATGAATATTATTATCACCTTGACAGGACAAAGAGGTTTGATCCCATTTTCCACTGGCTGTACAAACTGATACATTCCCTCCTCCAACACTGACATATCCATGGTCACACATGTAAGCAGCCTGGGAGCCCAGAGTGGAGCTGTTATCCCACAGAATGCTCGCATGAGGGATGGGTAAAGGCTCTCCACACTCAACTTCTACACACATGCAGATTACATCATTTAAGTGGGAAGAAAAGAAATTAATTTTGTGGAGACTATATAAGAAAAACAATATTTTTATGAGAAATATTACCTTTACACAAAATATCAGGCTTTGTCCAGTAACCATTAATTGTGCACACTGACTCATCGCTACCCTGATGATGATAAAATCCTGTTTTACAGACGTAAGTCACTGTGCTTCCAGGCCTGGAGCTGCTGTTCCACACCTGTGCAGTGTGGGGCACAGTGGGGGGATCTCCACACAAGACCTCTGAGACACAAAGTTTGGCATCAGGGTAAAAGGGCCATTCTAGGCATTTTTAAACAACCTCGGTTTAGAGACAAAAAGTTAAACTCTGACACAACTGATGAGCTAATGGCTAGTTTGAGCATGGCCAAGACAAAAGTGAACTGCTTAGACCTTTAAACTGCAGTCAGTCTTTCAGTATGTGGTTATTTACATAAACTGCAATGAAATTGTCTAATGCTGTTTTAATCCACTTAGAAAAATTTGGACGAGGTGTTAGCTTGTCTCTTCTGTCAGATGTAACATTTCTTTCTCCAAACTGAGGTTGTTCAAGAAGTTATCTGCAACAGGTAAGACATTTAATTCTCCATAACTTTGTCAGAGACCCATCTCAAAATAGCCAAAATATCACTTTAAGCAGAATTTTGAAAATATGCCAAATCTAACTCATTTCAAACATAAAGGATAGTGATGCGGTTCGTTCCTGAGTAAATCATGCTGCATAACTGCATCTTTATGTATCTGATGATACTTTAGATAAAAAACTTGAAAAAACAATGGATTACCTTGACATGACAAAGTTGGGCCTGTCCAGTGACCATTATTCTTACAGATGGATACATTTTGTCCTCTTTTGTAATAAAAGCCCTTCATACAGACATATAGCACAATGCTGCCAGGAGTTGATTGATTGTTCCACAGCTGCTCTGTGGATTCAATGAAAGGAGGAGTTCCACAAACGGTCTCTACAGGAAAAAACAAGCAGGTACCATAAACATTGTTACTGAACTCCTCCTCCCAGTGATGAAACAGTGATCAGATCTGAGCTGAAGGCAGGCCGCTCACACACAAACTCATGTTTGTCCTCATGGGGACTTTGCATTGACCTCCATTTATTTACCTTCATTTCTATAGCCTAACCCTGACCATTTACTTTAAATCTGACCTCACAGGTACATACCTGACTCTAAAACTAACCTAAACTCAATTCACTCCTCAGTTCTAACCCTAACCCCTGACCCTCGATGGGGACCAGGCTTTTATCCCCATAAGGAACAGCGGGTCCTCACCAGGCTGTGTGTACCAGGAAAACGGTCAAAAATCATTCCCACCGAGTAGCAAAAACATCACAACACAACACACAAGTTGTTTTTTTCTATCCTTGTGGGGAATTTGTATTGGCTTCCATTCATTTCTGTAGTTGTCCCCAAACCACTCCTGTGTTCTCCAGTCCTGAACTTCGAGGAACAGGTCTTTGTACTTTACTCCATCCAGCTCTGTCTCAGCTCTAAACAATATCTCTCCCCCTGCTGCTGAAAACCCCAGTATGATGCTGCCCCCACCGTGCTTCACTGTGGGGATGGTGTTGAGCCTGATTTCCTCTTCTCACATTTAGAACTGAGGACTAACAGTCCAGTCTTGGCCTCATCAGACCAGAGACCTTCAGGTGGTCCTTCATGTGTTTTGCTCTGAGAGGATTCCAGAAAGTGGAGGCCTGCAGTTTTGTTAGTTCCATCTTCAGACAGGATGTTTGAAGCTCAGTCATCGGGTTTTTCACTTCTTCACTCACACTCTTCTGCCTCAGTTGTTCAGTAAGGTTGGATAATGTTTTAGTCCACATGTGTCAAGCTTGAGGCCTGGGGGTTACTCCCGTGTGGCCCGCCAGGGGGTTACACCCCCACCCCAAAACAAAATTACTTAACATGAAAATTGCTTCTTATATCAATGGTAAACTTTAAATTTATGATTAAATGCAACAAAATAAATTTAAAAGATGAAAGATAATAAAAATTGTCCTGCCCCTGAGCTGAAGTCCACAAATAGGATCCTCGCGTAGGCTCCTGGGGTGTCCAAATGCTGCAAAATGAAGTGAAGGGCCTGGTTGTCTTTAAGTAACTGAGCAGTTTATTTGGATAGCCAGGTATTAATACCTGAAAATAAGTTTAAAGTCAGCATCAACCATCAACTAAATCATCCATAATGCAGCTACTCACTAGAAACTCATCAGTGAGTAAAGCTTTATTAGTTTTACTTTTAATAATATTTCTGTATTTATTTCAGATTTAGTCAGTCATACACTTAGTTCATATCTGTGTTCATAAGAGGACGTGTTAAAACACTGTTTAGTCAAAATTAAACATGAAACATCAAAGTTCATTACAACTGAACTGGGCCTTCGAGGGCCACCATAACACTCATGTGGCCCTCTGTGAAAATGAGTTTGACACCCCTGTTTTAGTCGTTTCCATATCTGTGCCTTGTAACAATGCTGTATGAGCTCTGAGGGCAGTTCTGTTTTTGATCTGATATGCCTTATCAGCCATACAAGACCTTCTGTGGAGAGGCCTGTGTCTTACCAAATCATCTTCAATTAGTTTAAGAAAATGGGAGCAGTTTTTGCAAAAGAAGAAGACTCAAAGGGCACACATCTGTCTGTGGTATTTGGTTTTGGTCTTTCTTTTTTTTTTTTTTGCACAGATAGTCTCAGACCACGACTTGTTTTACTATAATGTGCTTTTTAGATGCTGACGGATCCAAAGTTGTTTTGAAATGACAGACGGAGTTTGGCAATAAGAGGCAGGGTGCGTTCTTACTTCATGTGTTTGTTGGGAAATGATCACTGAAGAATCTTTCAAAAATGTTCCAATCATAGAATGTATAAACTTTTTTCTTTACAATTATACCAACATTTATGTGTTTCTGCAGTTAAATTTTAGATTTGTTCTTTTATTTTAATGATTTAGTTACTAAAGGTATTGAAAATTATTTATTTCATACTTAAATTTGTTAAAATATATATATAATGAACCAACTTTCTTTTGAAATGTAGTTTTAACTGATGGAGGAAATAATATCTCTACACWAATAAACCAGTTGAGTCACACTGAGCGACAAATTTTCAGTGAAGCGTGGCTTCAGCTGATGACAGGAGTTAATAAATATTCTGTTAGCATTAGCATTTAAATAAATGCATAATCAGAACAGATTTCACACAGCTACCAGCCTGTCAGCTGGTTTCTTTGGCTTCTTGAAYGCATCACATCACTTACCTCCTGCTGAAAACTAAACCTGGCACAATTAATGYCTTTACATCAGAAGATTTAAATGTTAGCCATTACCTTCACAGACCAGAGTGGGTCCTCTCCACAGTCCATCAGCTCCACACACAGAGCTGTTCTCTCCCCTCCTCCACACAAAGCCTTCATCACAGACATATAAGACCACGCTGCCATACGTGGTTCCTGCGACAGACAGCTGGACCGTGTCCTCCACTGCAGCCGGCTGACCACAGTCCACCACTGAGAGAGACAAGATCAAATGTGATCCTCCACATCCCATAATACCAGCAGTGATGTGCTGTTAAGAAGATTTTTTACATGTATGTATGAGATAATAGTCTGATAGAACACAAGGGTATTTATGCCCCATTTGTCACATCTAAAAATGACATGACTTTTGCAAAAACCAATGGTATTTCCTTAACATCCATCCATCCATCCATCCATCCATTTTCTGTACACGCTTCTTCCTTTTCAGGGTCGCGTGAGAGTGTTAGTAAGCCTGTCCAAATGTGATTAAATGTTTTTACTGTATTTGTGTGAGAATTACCTTTGCAGGAAGCTTTGTCTCTTTGTGGGTGAAAGGGCTCAGTTCCGTYGTGGACTTGGTATCCCACCTGACAGCTACAGTCAAAGCTGCCCTCCACGTTTCTACACAGACCCCCCTCTCCACACAGCCCCGTCACCTCACACTCATCAACATCTGCAACACCAAGAGAGTCACGCTGCAACAACAGTCTCTGACTTTGTTGATTGTTTCGCTTTTATCAAGGTCCTRATAATAATTTGATGAAAGATTTTTTTATTTAGTAGGTGCTGTGATTGTGAGTATGACTCAGCTCTCTGTTGACAATCAATAATCAGACCACTACTGATCTATTGTTAGGCTGATGGTCCTCTTTAGCATGTGAACAAGCAGTTTTGATTGTCATTGTTAAACCTATTTGTCCACCATGTGGAGGCACATGAAACTTTGCAGACTGAATAAGTCTCTTGGAGGAGAGTAGTGATGTTCGATATTGCCAATTTTCTTTCCGATACTGATACCAAGTAAAACTTAGCTTGTATCGGCGATACTGATCCAATACTGATACTTTGAGAACACACATAATGTGTCTTGTTAATCTTAAAATGTAGCATTTTTCTAATAACCGCTTTATAAATATATGACATAGTAATTTATAGATTTTTAAAGTATTTCTAACCCTAACCTTATATTTGTTTAGCACAATTTAAAATTCTTWTTCTTAAGAAATATAATAATTTTTGAATAGTGAATAAAAGTGAGAAAAATATTCTAAAAGTTGTTACTTCGTATATTTTGTTGCATTGTTTATAGGTTTGCAAGAAGAACCTTGGCCAGAGCTCATCTAGATTTTAATTACAGACAGTCAGAAAAAGCAGATTTTATGTTAAAATTACCTGCCATACATCTACAGACTGAGTGACTGACTGAGCACAGGCCACTGTGCATATGCATTACTCAAGCGGAAGGAAAATTGTTCCCTCCAACCACATATGATTAAGACAAGTGTGGAATAGTTTAGTTATTTTCCTCTATTTCCCTGTTAATGATATACATCATGTGAAATAACTAAAGTGTCAAAGTATCAATATTTTGATGTTAGTATCACATCTGGAGCATAAAGTTCTGGTACTGTCTCAATATTTCAGTACCAATCTGCACATCACTAGAGGAGAGATTAAACAAACCTGTCCAGAGGACCTACTTGACTTTTTTTATTTTCCTACCTGGATTATTGAGATGCATTAGGACAATTTAATGAAAGCATCTCTGTTTCTGTGCTGTTTGTCTGACGTTTAACCCTCTGTACAACCAAAAAACGATTAATCCATCCCAGACTGAACCTGGACTCACCTCGGCAGTGGGTTCCATCATTTGGGATGAAGACAGCCATGTTGTTAGAGGGCCTGTAGCCAGCCAGGCAGGTGCAGTAGTAGCTACCATAGGTGTTGTGGCAGGTGGTGTGCTGCCCACAGATCTTATGGGCTCCTATCTGACACTCATCTTTGTCTGGGAAATAAAAACAAAGCATRACATGAATGTATTCTTTATGCACAAGCTTGCACTCTCAGGTTCTTCAGTGGATTTTATTGAGTCTCTGATTCATAATGTCATCTAAAGACCACCACTGCCCCCCTGCTGGGCCCGCTGCAGTTCACCTACAGGAGAAACAGGTCTGCAGACGATGCTGTTAACCTGGCCCTGCACTCCATTTTGCAGCATCTGGACACCCCAGGAACCTTTACGAGGATCCTATTTGTGGACTTTCAGCTCTGAATTCAACACAATCCTGCCAGACCTGCTCCAAACCAAGCTCTCCCAGCTCAACRTGCCTGACTCCACCTGCAGGTCTGACTTCCTGATGGATCGGAGGCAGTATGTGCGGCTGGGGAAAACTGTTTCAGAGACCCGGACCCTCAGTATCGGCTCCCCTCAGGGCGGTGTAGTTTCTCCCCTGCTCTTCTCCCTGTACACCAACAGCTGYACCTTCAGCCACCAGTCTGTGAAACTCATCAAGTATGCAGACGACACCACCCTCATCAGGCTCATCTCAGACAGAGATGAGTCTGCTTACAGGAGGGAAGTGGATCAGCTGGTGTCCTGGTGCAGCTCTAACAACCAGCTCATCAATGCACAGAAAACAGTGGAGTTAATCATGGGCTTCAGGAAAGTCACAGCCACTCCATCCCCTCTGGTTCTCAGCAACTACTCCATCCCGACTGTGGACTCCTTCCACT